CTTTTGAAGCATCAAAAACGTAACTTTTGTATCACTTTGCATAGAAATTGAGCGTCCTCCGCTACGCTCCGGACAATTAACCAATTGCCATATCCTTAACCTCGAACTAACCCTAACCTTAATATTAATTGCTGCGTTTTAAATACTTTCCAAAAAACGGAAATCGAAAAATGGGTTGGTAATATCGGTCCAGATTAGGTTGCCTTTATTGTGATTTTATTTGCTTATTATCTATCTACCCCGTTAGTTATCAATGTGCTTTCGTCCTAACGATAGCAATTTTTTCCACTTTTAACTTACCATGTCGAAGCAACTAACCAAAATCTACATAGGTATCATTATATTCAAACTATGAAGATTTTTGATTGAAAAAAATTATCATCAAAAAAAGCTAGAAACTTTTAGAAACCAAAAGGCGCTTATAATTGAAAAACGTACGTTCAAATTAAAGTGACGATTTTAGTATCGTGAACACTCAAATAGATTACAATTTTTGGTTTATAAATTCATATCGAAATGTTTTTTAAGTAAATAGATCTTTGTCAATTTATTGTCTATTGGTTTAACATAAAAAAAAGAGCTCACTATACAAAATTCTTATGTTTTCTTATTTCTCAAAATCTGCATAAAAACCACCTTTAGTGCTCTAACAAAAAGTTTTCCTTGAACGATTTTACTATTTTAAACACCTAATCTCTAACTTGAGCTTTAAAAATTTTGACTGCGTCACAATGATCGACCAAACCTGGCACAGAATTTTTTCGTGAGATTTCAAGATCATAGTGAAACGTAACACGATCTGCAAATTCCAACAAACGTTCGTTCTCAAAAATCTGCATAAAAATCACCTTTAGTGCTCTAACAAAAAGTTTTTCTTGAGCGATTTTACTATATAAATATCTAACCTCTAACCTTAGTCTAAACGTTAACCCTAACTGCAATGAACTTTAAAATTTTTCGTTAATTGTAAACTTGCGCCACAAACCTGGCACAGAATTCATACGTGCTAAAACGATATTGATGTTTATTTATTACACTTAACCCTCACTAATATCAATCCATTTATATTCATGCTGATAGTGATATTAGTAAGGGATCATAGTAAAGTTAGTAAAGTTGATATATAAGGGATTTTGATATGTAAAAGTTTATAAAAATTTATCTTGTGACTTTAAGGTTCTGCAAGTGCCAGGCACAGGCCCAGGCACCATTTTTAATAGTACGTACCGGCATTTGCAGAATCCTAATATTAACGTAGGTTGATATTAACGAGGATCTTAACTTTATTTCTTTTTAATAGTTTAGAAAGCACTAATAATGCCAACACAAATCATCAATATACCCTTATACTTGTAAAATAATATATAAATTTAAATATATTTCATACTTTGTAAATAGAAATAAATATTAATAATCATGTTGTATAAGGTAAAAAAGAATTTTAAAAGTTTGCATAGCTTACTTTTAGTAACGTCGAAAATTTCATAATGCGAATCAGTTAAATATTCTATTAAAAAGATATTTGAAATAATAGCATTTCATGTAAAAATAACGTTTATTTCTCAATGACAAATAATAATAGTGATCGATACCCTTATCTAAGCTTAATAAACTCGACAACTGATTAATATTTGTGAATTTACTTTTATATATAGCTTCTGGATGTCTATCAAAATTTGTTGGCAAAGTAGGAATGATCTTATCTGCGGTCATGGTTTGCGAATTTGATTAAAGGCTTCAATTGCTTCATCAGTTGACAAATTGAGATTGAAATCTTTCAGGAATACCCAATACCAAAATTCAATTTGTTCATAAACTTGACTAGCTGTCGGACGTTCTGATGGGTTAATAGCCATACATTGATTCACAAATTGAATATAAAATTCAGGTGTTCCTAAAGCAAATTCTGGTTGTAATCCATGACAAATTTGTAATACAAGTCTTATATCATGTGGTTTATCGAAACATGGAGGTTTTCCGGTAGATAATTCGGCCATAATTACGCCTATACTATAAATATCTGAAGCTTGAGTGTATCGTTTATCACTTATAACTTCTGGAGCTAAATATGGAAGGATACCAAATACACCCTCACATGCAAAAGAATTTTCTATCTTTTTAGCAAATCCTAAATCTGTAATAAAAGCAACGATGTTATTACCTCCATTATTATTAATTAAACCATTTCCACTATGAAGATCACGATGTATGAACCCTCCTTTGTGAATTGATTTTAAACAACTTAATAAACTTTTAAGTATATCCAATTTCTGGAACCACATAAGAGTTGAAAAATTTGAAGCTAAATAGCTCCGAAGGTCTCCTAAATTGGCATAATCTGTTACCATCATATATTCCTTAGTTGACGGATGTTGCGACAGTCCATAAACGCGAAGAAATTGATGGCTTATATGGAGGTTTACATGACACTTAACAAGATAGATAGGCTTAAAGAATATAATATGAAAATGGTCAACAATTAATTTAAACAAAACATATATATCATAAATTTATAAATAATAATAATCGAGCGTACTTCATTCAGAAATTCCAAATCTTCAGAAACAGAATCATGAAAACTCTTAACAGCAACAATCCGGGGGCGGTTTTGAGATTTAATGCTTATTTAAACTTAATGGTCCATCAAGCCATGTTGCCGAAAACACTGTACCATAGCCACCTTTGCCAATTTGTTGAAAATTCCCTAATCTATTAAATGGTATCCACTCAATAATTGTTTTCTCTGCCTTTGTTTCAAGTTGAAGTTCTTTAATCAAATTGTCTATTTTAAAATTTCCACTAGACCACCCTTTAGTTAATTTTTTTGAATCGCAATCTTGACACCATCCTAACTTTTCTCTGGCTTTTTTACACTGTGAACAAACCTTATAACCAATATCATAATCGTCATTTAAAAGATTATCATGAAATTCTGTAGTTTTGTCTGCAGTATTTCTCAATGTAAGATAAATATTATAAAACATGATAACACATATAGTCATATAAAACACTTACTCCACTCATCATTCTTGAAATGTGTGGTATCTAATGGCTTGTGAATTAATTCTTCGTTCATTAATCCACCTTCGGCCAATTCTTTGCTTACTAATTCTTTGTTCACCAATTCTTTGCTCACCAATTCTTCTCCCACCAATTTTTCACTTGCCAACCCTTCGTTCACCGGACCTTTATACATAAAACTAAATATATTCAAAACAAATATATCACATTTGTGCAGAGTATCTATCTAAAATGAAAACTTGTCATTCTTTTCTGATCCTAAACAAACAAATGAATAAAATATCTAAGTAAATAATAAATATTATATATACAGTACTTATAAATTAAATATCATTTCTACTTATTAAAATTATAGCTTAAACAATGATATTCTTAATTACTTTAAGTTAAACTCTAAAAAAATATTCTTCTAAAAGTTAAACTCTTCTTTGGAGACAAATCTCAAGACCTTAAGCTTGAATTAAAAGTTTTGAGAAAGCTATTGCTACTAATAATTAAGATATAAAAAAAAACAAATAATATAAAATGCGCCTATGGTGTTTATGGTGTTAATAAGTTTTTGGCTAAAATTTAGGGTTAGGGTGCAACTTTAAAGTAAGATTGGGGTTAGATATAAAGGTCCAAATTTTAGTTAATATAAGGTTTTTGGGGGTTCTGAACATTTTTACTTAGTACCCCTGAGAGGTATTAGCTAGTACGTTTTTAAGATATAGCCAATTATGGTGTTTAACACCATAGGTGCAGATTAGTAATGTGAAAAAAAAGGCTATCCTATTTGCTTTCTTGTAAAATAATACTGATAAATAATAGCAAATATATTTTATTATTAATATAACAACTACTAACTATATTGATAATTGGCTAAACTATTAAAGCTTTTAAAAAAAGTTTTGCATCTACAGTACTATTGACAGAATAAATAGCTGTATAAATTAGATATCTTAAAATAGCAATAAGATAAATTTATTAATACCTATTATAATAAATTTAAATATTTAATTAAAATAAATTAAAATTAGATTTCCTCTAACCTATTCTAGCAAACCAATTAATGGCAATAATTGATTGCACTATATAGAAAATTAGAGGGTATAATGTCACATTGAGTGTCTATTACATAGTAACACAAATGTAGTTCTGAAATCTTTAATGTAGAATTTCTTTCTATTTTATTAAATAAAGTTTCAACTATGACATTTACAAAAAAAAAAAAAAAAAATAGATTAAAAAAGTTAGCAATGCTCAAAAATTATATTATTTTTAAAAAAGGCTAAAACTTAATATGTTTTTATTAGTCTTAATATATAGTTCTAAAGTTTGAAAAGAATTTTTAACTTGATGCAAACTTATAAACAAAGAACTAATTTTACTACTAATATTGATTCTATTTAAATTAAAAAGTTTAGAAACTAGGTTTAGGCTTCAGATAATTATGTTAATATAATATTGTATTTGAGTTTTTAATCTTAGTATCTTCTAGATATAATGTTCAATGTAATTCTTTTCTATATATATTTCATATAAAAAAATTCAATTGAATTTCAATAAAGTTAGAGGCATAGCCTCATATTTTAAAATTAAAAAAAAGTTCTGAGACTTAAAAAAATATTAAGTTTTTTACAAAACAGTTATAACAAATATTTTTCAACAATATTACTATTAACTTAGCCTTAACTATACAACTATTTCTAAACTATCTAAATTTAATATAGCTATCAAAATTAGACTGATTTGTTATTAATGTAGCAAAAAGTCTATATTGTCTGAAATTAGTAATTAAAAAAAATAATGTAAAATATTCAAGCCTATTCTTTCTTTATTTAATAATAAAATATCAACTATATTAATATTAAAAAATATTATAAAGATAATAAAAAATTAATATGCCTCCAAAATTCTAAACTTAAGCTCTATCTAAAAAATATAAAGAAGATCAAACAAAAACAATTAGATTATCAAAAAGAACAAACATATCAAAAATAGTATTATAGTCTTAAGTCTTAGCAAATATATTTATAAATATTAAATTTTACTAGTTTTAGCTTTAATTTTAACTCTAGTTTTAACTAAAAACCTAATTGCAATTCTAATTAACTTCTATTATATAATTCAAAAGAACTGTTTAGAAAAAATTACTATAGTGTGGAACATCTAGTTACATTATAGCATTGAAATTTAAAATCTATATAAATATATATAGTAGTGCTGAATTTTAAAAAATATAGTACTGAATTTTAAAAATTTATATAAAAGTACTAAAATTTTTAGCAGACGAATTAGTGCTCGCCAAAATCGAGTAAAAACTCGATTATCGAGTTTGCGCATCTAATTGGAGTACAAATCGGATCTTAAATTATTTAGTTATTTTTAGTAAATCTAACGACGTATGTACGTACGTACGTAACACATACATAACAAATATAACGCCGATCTACTATTTAACTCTATTATTGTACTGAATAAATCGAAATAATTATTAAAAAAAAAAAGTTTATTTTGCTTTCTATTTTTTTTGACTTTTAGTTCTTATTGGTCTCTCTTTTTTTCGATCTTTCGGCTTCT